TTAGATGCCAGTTTTTGTTTTGTGTTGGTGGTTCATTCATTTGTTCTTTATTATAGAAAGTGGGCCTGGTATTAGCATTTAATTTATTCTGTCTTCCTCTGAGAATGACTAAAGACTTTAGAAAGCTAACAGTTTCCTTTCTTGGGTCACATTTGCCATCAATTTCTGATTTTGTGCTTTGCTATATACACAATGAACTTAGAAAAAACTCAAGGATAAGCAAAACTTGACTCATCACAAGCAAAAATCTAGCTCAATGTTCATTTTGAGAGTAAAAGGAAACAAAAGTGGAAAAGATAACACAGATGCACATAAAATGATGCCAAGCTTAGCCAAGACATGGAAACAGCCTAAATGTCCATCAACAGATGACTGGATAAAGAAGATGTGGTATATTTATATAATGGAATACTACTCAGCCATAAAAACCGACAACATAATGCCATTTGCAGCAACATGGATGCTCCTGGACAATGTCATTCTAAGTGAAGTGAGCCAGAAAGAGAAAGAAAAATACCATATGAGATCGCTCATATGTGGAATCTAAAAAAACAAAAAAGCCAAACAAACAAAGCATAAATACAAAACAGAAATAGACTCACTAACATAGAATACAAACTTGTGGTTGCCAAAGGGGCAGAGGGTGGGAAGGGATAGACAGGATTTCAAAACTGTAGAATAGATAAACAAGATTATGCTGTATAGCACAGGGAAATATACACAAGATCTTATGGTAGCTCACAGAGAAAGGAATGTGACAATGAATATTGTAGGTTCATGTATAACTGAAAAATTGTGCTTTACACTGGAATTTGACACAACATTGTAAAAATGATTATAAGTCAATAAAAAATGTTTAAAAAAATGATACCAAGCTTACCAATTCTGTATCACATGCACGTACTTAAGGCACAAATAGAAGGAAATGCCTCACAATGTGCAGAACTGTGGATTGTGAGACAATCTGAACTTCTAAGTCTGAATGTTTACCTTCCTTGGCACAAGTGAAAGGATTGCTCACTGTTTACCTTTTCTGTGCCAGTTACCAAGACAAGACTTTCTCTCATTTTAAATTTGATTCATTACTTCGCAAGAATCTGATTTCCTCCTACCAGGGAAACTTTAGCTAAAAACAATCTTCCAATAAACTTGCAGAAGTGCCTCTACCTTTGATTTCTGTCTACAGTGGTGTAATAATGATAAGTATTGACTAAACCAAGTTAATATGCATCCAGTGTGTTTTAGTAATTCCAGGTGCTTGCCAACTCTTGATAATGATCTCTTTTTGTCAGTACGAACACTGTGATGGATACCTGCAGGAATTATCATTCTGTACTAAACAGAACAGCAAAGAATACTTAGAGGCTCACAGAAGCAAACTGCTGAATAATTTATAAATTGTTCCATCACTAAAACCGAACTACTTATCAAATGTGGGTTTTCAATTTCTCATTAACTGTGGGGACCAGATTCTGGCTAAAGATTGATTTTTACATTAAAAGAAACTGCTAAGATGATGAATAAGAAACCAGCAAGGCAATAAAATAGGTAGTTTATTAGTAGTTATTGTAGAGAGGGAAAATAACACTCCAAAATGTACTGGCAAATTCAAGTTTAAGCACTAATTCAGGGACTCTCCTGTTACCATGATCACTAAATGGAATTCCAGAAGCTAGAAAGAGTACCTGTTTCTTTCCAGATCCTGAGAGGAAACGGTCTCAATTCACTTGCCAGAAACAGTTAATATATTACCCGAATTGCAGACTTTAATTAAAAATAAAAGAGATGCAGCAACAGAGATGTTTGTGGTTCAGATCAGATTTGAAATTAACTACCAGGTAACTTCTCCAAGTTTCAAGGCGGACTGTTCTCATACAACACAGTTATTTTTTCACTCCAGAGAGTTCTAACTATGTTTTATAAATGTCTGTAGAATTTTTTATATAAACATCCAGATTTCCCACATTCTGGTTCCCAGAAACTAGGTTTTGTTCCTCAAGTAGTCATTAAGACGCAAGGGTAAATGATTTGGAGAAAGAAAAATACTTCACTGAAATATTTTTACTTATCTAAAGAGATGCCATGTTATGCGCATGGAAATGTGTCTATGTGTGTGATGGTGGTAGTGGAGGAGGAACACATACTTCCTGTAAAAGTAGGAAAATTACAGGAGAGCATTTAAAAAATATCTGTTAACCCCAACACTCATACATATGATCCTTGAGGAATGTGTACCCTTCCAACACAAAGCCCCTATGGCTCTATTTTTATGTCAATTTCACAATGTCTCCGGCTTCATTCTTTTCATGATAAAAAGTTGGAATGAAAAGAAATGGTTAGCTCCTGGATTTTTCATTCTCAATGATAGATAAATTCAGAATTACTTGAAAGCTGCAAAGGTAGGGTTACTGTATATTAACTGTTATTCATGCATGTCAGTATGCTTTCTCCATCATTATCTAAAAATACACTGTATAGTAGAACCACGTATGATAAGAAAAATGAGCAAATGAATAGGGCAATTCAAAACCACAGAATGACTGAATATCAGAGCTCGAAGTGACCTCGCGGGCTACATGAGTGCAATTCCTATTTAAATGGAAACCTGAAAAAAAACAAACTGGAAACCTGACTGTGACCTTGACAGGGTAGAGTCCCCCCTTATTCACGTGTGAATCCTTCCTACAAAGCCCAGCGTGTGCCCAGCACTCTATAAATACATTTGAAATACACTACCATGTTTGTCGGATGAATGAAATTCATTTTAATGGAAGAGTGCATAACCTCAGAAGGAAAGACTTCTGGCTCTGATCCTTCTACAAAGAAATGGCTTACTGTCCATTTACATATTAGTAATGAATTAAAGCCTGAACAAGAGATCATGCAATGGCAGTCCCCAACTAATGGAAAAGAGGCATATCCAGAAGTTTGTATGTAAGTAGATTCACTGGACTCCAGAATGCATTTTCTCATAGATACAATGTTGCTCATAGCGGCTCACTTCTCTGGCCAGCCCACAACTTCCTTAAGCATACAGTTTCAACAGACTAACCACCACGCAGAAAAAGGTGCCATGGGAAAATGTGTCCGGCACCCCATTGTGGGGAACATCTTGCTGCTGCCCAGTAGGTAGGCTCCTTCAAGATTAGAGATGGAGGATGAGAAGAAATCAGACCAGGGTAAAGCTGTCAACAATGAGAGAGGGAGAGAAATAAAAGCTCAGTCTCCAGTGCTCTGTGCCCCCAGCCAAACCACCTTACGTTCCTCACTCATCTGCTACGCGTGCACGCCTGAAGCATCTTCTGTATGTCAGGCACTATGCTATGCCCTGGGGGGTGCAGCAGAGACCAAAATCAATGTGGTTTTTATCCTCCTGGAACTTATAATCTAGTAGGGAAGACAGACTTTGAAGGGTCAGAGAGGAAAATAGGGGAGAAGGTTAGTGGGGAGCAGAGAGAGGTCTAATGAGCAGAAAAGGAAAAGAGTATTCAAAACATAAGGCACCATTTCCCTCCCCTTTATTCCTCCATCTGCATTCTTTCATCATTGGGGTGAAAGCAGGTGAGGGACAGGAACAAGTGACAATAAAGCAGATGTAGGAAGAGATTTCATTTTCCTCTCCCCCATTTTTACCCTTTTTTATAGATCCCAATGCCAACTAGTGCAGGCAGAGGTGAATGGCATTGACGTGGGCTGCGGGGAGTGGACCAGCAAACAAGAGAGCTGTAGCAGTGACAGCAGGACTGAGAGGAAGGAGAGCTCACCACCCCAGGACAAAGCAGAAATCACACTGTGCGAGGAATGGACAAGATGAGGCTGTGCCTAATTAGGAAAAGCCCCTTCTGCTCAGGGCCTATCCAAGACAGACTCTGCTCTGGACATATAACCTTGTGATGACTGGATAAAGAAGTTGTGGACTATATATACAATGGAGTAGTACTCAGCCATTAAAAAGAATGAAGTAATGCCATTTGTAGCAACATGGATGGACTTGGAGATCGTCATACTAAGTGAAGTCAGACAGCAAGAGAAAGAAAAATACCATATGATATCACTCATATGTGAAATCAAAAAAAAAAGACACAAACAAACTTATTTACAAAACAGAGACAGAGTCACAGACATGGAAAACAAACTTATGGTTACCAGGGAAGGAAGAGGGGGTGAAGGGAGGGGTAATTTGGGAGTTCAGGATTTGCAAATACACACTACTAAATATAAAATAGATGTACAGCAAGGACCTACTATATAGCACAGGGAACTATATTCAATATCTTGACCTATAATGAAAAAGAACATGAAAAGGAATATATATATATGTATGTATAACTGAATCACTATGCTGTACACCAGAAATTAACACAACACTGTAAATGGACTATACTTCAATGAAAGAAAGAAAGAAAGAAAGAAAGAAAGAACGAACATCTACCCCAAAACCTCTCAGTTTTCCCCATCATTTTCTAAAACCCATTCAGGAATACTGATTCATATCTGTGGAGGCTGCTGTAATGAGAATACTTACAGCTTGATAAATCCACTGTTGGTTGAAAATACTATAAACTGGAAATGCATATAATACACCTAATCTACCAACCATCATTGCTTAGCCTAGCCTACCTTAAGTGTGCTCAGGACATTTTAACATTAGCCTATATTTGGGCAAAATCGCCTAACTACAAAGCATATTTTATAATAAAGTGTTGAACATCTCACATAATGTATGGAATGATGTACTGAAAGTGAAGTACAGAATGGTTGTGTGCATTTTGGTTGCTTACTTTCATGACTGCAAGGTTGACTCTGAGCTGAGGCTGCCGTTGGCCCAGCATCATGAGAGAGGATCGCACCGCAAAGGATCAAATTCAAAACTCAACGTACAGTTTCGGGGGGAGGGTCTGGCTCACTGGTAGAGTGTATGCCTAGCACGCATGAGGTTCTAGGTTCAATCCCCAGCATCTCCACTAAAGACAAATAAATAAATAAATAAACCTAATTACCTCCCCTCCAACAAAAAATAAAAAGATAAATTAAAAAAAAATTCAATGTACAGTTTCTACCGAATGCGTATCACTTTCATACCATTGTAAGTTAAAAACTCCTAAGTCGAACCATTGTAAGTTGGGGACAATTTGCTAAGAAATTATTAGTTTTGTGATGACATTTTTCCTCATATCTATCAGTAGCAGAAATTTTATTTTTGAAGTTCTGTGGGCGGGTAGCTGTTGTCCTTCTTTTCAATCCTTCCACCCCTACCTGCAATGTAACAGGTGTAGTAGACTTACATAATTCTTTTAGATCACCCAGCATCTGAATTTCCCTTCCTATGTTTGCAAAAATCATTAATTCTAATTTTACAAAAGCAGGCAATTTCAGATGATTGCTTTCTTAGCCCCCTTGCAATAGAGTGCAGGCATATGATCAGGTATACTGGCTCCACCAGAAAAATTCATCCCAGATTTTGAATCCCAAGAAATTTCAAGAAACAAGTACTGTACAGAGACCTGGGTCTAGGGTTGGGGCAGCGAGAGCAGCATCCAGAAGCAGGAGTGGCAGTATCTGGTGTGTCATGTCAGTGATGTTGGGAGTGCAAGATGTCAGGCCTATGGTCACGGCCCAGGAGGCAGTAGGGGTATGTTCCCTGGACCAGTTGAGTGGCCTTGTTCCTGGTTGATGAGCTTCCGAGCTAGGTTCTCAGCTTTCCTGGGGAAACTGTGAGCTAACTAGCAGCCTTCAGAAACTTCTTTTCTGATGACATTAGCCAGAGGTTTCTGTTGCTTACAACTGAGAATCCTGACTGATATACCAAGTCACGTAACATTTTATTACTTTTGGTCAAAGGCCACTGTAAGATTTAAAGAGCAAATAAACAGTGAGAGCCTACAGGTGACTCAGGGAGTCAGAATGAGCTGCTGAACAAGATGTTACTGAGGATTTCTGAAATCATCTCCTAAAAGGAATGACAGGATGAATGATCCATGCTGTTTAATAGTAGTATCCAAAACATGATTTATTTTCTATCAGGCTGAGATGCAGAACACTGCTTGCCATCCCCTAAAAAGCATTCAGCTACTTTCTCACATGCTCCAAGGTACCCTGTTGCTCAAGAATTTCAACTGGTCCCTCCAAAAAGCTTGAATTTTAATCTCCCTTCTTAATTATTCCCAAAGAAAGTGTGATGCCATTCCATTAAGCTGACTTAGTCAGAAGCATCACCTTGTATTAGCCTGATAGAAAAATCTTAAAAATATGTATCCTTGGGGAAAAGACCAGGTAGGAAACGAAAAAATGTAATTTTTGAAACTAGAAATACATACTCATACTTGAATCAGAATTGATATTTCTCCTACAATAATCTAACTTAATTCACCTTGGATAGTACATTTAATTTCCCCTAGTCACTATAAATTGCATAGAAGTTCACATTAAATTTTCCTTTTGGCTTATTATCAACAACTTTTGCCACTGTACTGTAAAAAGATATATTTTCAGTAAGACCCAAATTACTGTAGAAATCACATGAAAAACAAAATTTTGGCACATGAAAAAAATTCTTACTATGAGAAAAATCAACACAAGAAAACTTTTTTTTAGCATGATGGCAAGGGTTTGGGAAAATGAAACTTACAGGAAGAAGAGTTTGTGTTGCCAGTTACTTTTTTTTTTTTTTTGCTATTTTTGCAATGTCCAAAAAGAATTCCTTGTCCTCAACCAATTTTATTTTCTGTTTTGTCTTCTAAAGGTCTCACTATTTTCTCATTATAAACTCCAGTAATCAAACACTGAGAAGATGGTAATTCCATGGATGCAGGTTTCAGTTCAAGAATAAAAAGTCAGAACAGAAGAACAGGAAAATGTATTTTTTATCTCAAACAATAAAAGCAAATTTGAAACAGCAAAAATAATGTAAAAAAAAATCAGGATCAGACAATGTGAACTGTTGGAAATTTTTCCCAGCTCTGAATTCTGATTTTTTTTAATTTACATGATACATATAAAATTATTCTCCCTCTCATTATTTCAGAGGACAGAGTGGTGAATCTACTTAAACAAAGGAAGCCTCTGTCTGTAAGCCAGGATTCATATGAAGTTAGATCATTTGCACAAGGCCATACAGTTTTAAGCCACATTCATAAAAGAACCATTTCCTCTTCTACTCTCTAAAATTATTATTAAACCAGAGATGCTGAAAAATCAAGCAGGCTGCAACCTGCCTGACCTTCAGAAATAAGAACCTCTTTCAGGATATTTGGAACTAAAAGTGAGTCATGGGGGAAAAGCAGGTTGCTATTAAACTTAAATCTTCTAAGTTAGGGTTCCCCAGTCTTTTGGCTCAAAGAGAAGCCCTAAGATCCGTACAGGTGAGAGTGAGAGACTGTAACTAGCAGGGCAGGGAGAGGTCATCACCATCACGCTAGGCTGACAAACACCCTCTGGCCCTGAGAACCTCTGCCAATCTCAGAAAGGCCCTGTAAGGAGAGGAGAGGCATTCCAGGGAAGACTTCCACATCCAACAGGAGATCCCAATTTCCAGATAGGAGCCTGACGATGAATATGTGAAGGACACACTCAACCCTGAATAGGACACACAGCCCTACAGGGGGTTTAGGGCACTCACACACGAGACAACACACACCTGTCATGAAGTTTAACAGACATGGACAGAGGATGCTCTAGAAAACCCAATAACCCTGTAACTGGGGATGTGTTAAGCCCCATATGTCAGCTTAACTTCTTAGTGCACGGGCGTCAGAAATGCTCATGGACGTGTTCTCTCCTTGGATGCTGAGGCAGGGCCAGAACAAGACATCTAAGTTGTGTTCCTCCTTCACTGTTTTCAAACTGGGCATAGACAGGTGCAAATGGTTCCACTGGATGGGTTTGTCTGTTTCTGCTTGTGTACAAAACTCATTAACGGACACAGCTACCACCTGCTTCTAGTGTCAGCTGTTTCTGGTATCAGACATGGCAGGTTGGGTGTCATCAGCATCAAGGAGTGGCCCTCAGGGAGGCCACCAGGCATTGCTATAGTTTCACTTGGATTTCCTGTTCCTCAGAGAGAACGGAAAAGGACCCCTGAGGAGGGGGCCGACCCCCAGGGCACCTGACAGCTGGGCCCCTCTGCTACCTCACACCTCAAGTACTGGTTAACTTCTCAAGCCATTATAAAATGTTACCCCAGGTTTACTCAGCTCTGCAGTTTATCACAAACTGACCAAACAGGACGAGCCAGTCTGGATTATATAACATGTAAATGAGCCAGGGGAGGTGCAGGGGGAGCTGACTGTAGGACAAGCCGCGGCAGTGGTTCCATGGGTTCTGCCCCACTACACCTGCAGCCTCTCCGGTCCCCGTTCTCCCCTGGCACTTTCTATCGCAAATATGGAGCATACCAAATGAAAGTGACCATGTGCATCCCCACAAACACCAACTAGTAAATCACCAAAATGAATGAAAAGGGACACGAAAGTTTAGGTTTTACATCGTTTAGGCTTTTTTCATCTGGTACACCTAACCAAATAACTCATATTCAGACCTAACAATATTAACACATTCTAAAGAGATTATCAGTAACTAGCATCTTCTTCCCACATACACGTGCTATCAGCTTAAATGTGGGCTCAGTGCCAGGACTCCAGTTTCACCAGTGTTGTTATGTGACTTGAATAAACTGTTTTATAGTTTCATGCATGTACTTGTTTAAGAAACAGATCTTACATCTACCACCCGCAGAGATGTTGAAGAGGTACTAAATGGTGAAACTGGTAACATTCCATAAGTAATTCTCTAACAGGATAAACCGACACAACAGAATATAATATTTAACGTTTTATAATAAAAAAGGAAAATACTGAACTGATAATCAATTTTTCATATTAACCCTACATTGCTTCATGAATTGCATGATTACAATCAGCTATAATTTTTTTTCTTTTAAACAGGCTGTTAGGAATCAATTGGAAAAAAAAGCTATTAAGAATCGAAGTTGTATTTACATAGTCACTTAAAGAGTAGATGATGACTGTAAATATAGGAGTCATACATGACACTGAAAAAAATCACAAAGAAATCAGTGAGGTTTAAGAAAAGCTAGCTGAAATTTAGTAACTTCAGTCTAGAAATTCAAAAGCATACAAATATATTTATATATGCACACACATGACTGGCATAAAAAATGTATATATATATGCTCATTATAATAGTTGTTAAAAAATTAGGGCTTGGTTTAATATATCAGAGTTCTTTCCTAGGTTCTCATCTGTTAAAGTTTTTTTTTTAAATAACTATGATCAAACTTTCTTTCCTGGTCCCCCCCACCTTTTTAAATGGAGGTACTGGGGATTGAGCCCAGGACCTTGTGCATGCTAAGTATGTGCTCTACCACTGACCTATACCCCAACCCCATTCTTTTCTATTTTTGATACCCATTATTTGTGGTTTTGAAAAATCAAGTCTTAAGGACCATCTTTGACAAGATAAATAAAAAAACAAATCAGGGAAGAAAGCCTTTTCGGACAATCCTACAAAATGTACATTTAACATATTGTTTCAAAATCTTTCACAGGAGTGAGCAGTGATGTCATCAGGCTGTATCTCTCCATTCCTAAGAGTGAGCATGAGGCAGGGCAGCAAACCGGCTTATACTGTGGAAACCGTGACGCTGTGGCAGGCACACACAGCTTCAACAGAGTCTAGATTCAAATGCCACCTCGTTGGTCATCCCTACCCACCCTTCACTGCAATAGGGAAACTGGAAAAAAAAAATCAAAGTGAATGGTTTTTGAAAAAGCTCCCTGGTGATTTTGATTCTCTTCTGACCTGCCCCCCAAACTGAGAACTAAAGAACAAAGAAACATAGGCACTGCCCATCTCCTCACCCTTAAACCCGCTACCTCCAAATACCTGAGAACCCCTGGTCTCAACTGACTACTCCCCTGGCGAGTTTTAGAGCCTCAAGTTGTGGTTTCAGCAAGACAGGTGTCAATGCAAAGTCAAATGTGATACGGGCCACAAGATGAGAACTTTCTAAGGCCATTTCTATACTCTACAGAGTTGAGCCAGGCTGCCACCTTTACGAGCTGAGCATCCACTGGGGAGGAGGTGACTCTGCAGGCGCCCTAGTTCATCCTGTCTGTCCTGTTCCCATCATTCGTGCTCACATGATAAGCTTGCAGAAGAGTTTCTCCAGCGAGGCTCACAGAAAGAGCTTCAGGGCTAATTCGCAAAGACAAAAACCAGGAGTAGGAACTCCAACTCATCCAAGGAAAAGGTTATTCTGTTCGGAGGGTAAGGGAAATATTCTAAATAGCATCTTGGAAAATGCTTCCCCTCCAAGAAGGAAAAGTAAACATTTCACAGGCTAGAATCTCTATTCCCCTCCCAGAAATTCCCATGGCTCACTTGGCAGGTCTCCAGGCCGCCTAGCTCAGCTGGCAGATATTCAAATACAGTTATTCAAAATATGTTAATGAGGCTGACAGGGCGCTTCCATCACATAACCCCACCCTCCCTCCCTCCCTCTCTTTGTGTGAACTGAACTTGTGCAGGTTAAAACAGGCGTGCCAAACACTTGCTAAGTGAGATTACTGACTGTTGGCTAAATGACTGAGAATTTAAAATAAGCATTCAGGGAGAACGGCTTTGCTCAAAACCATGTTGCCTTTTAAAAGGAATATATTGATGCTCAAGTCACTCCAGCTCCCATATTCCTCTATAGCTGTAAAAATACAGGCATTCATGATTGACATTCTTCAAGTGCTATATGCAAAGTACCTTAAAGATTCCAAGGTACTTTACAAGCATTCTTTTGAACCTAACTTTCAACTGACATGTTTCATTCTACAAATGAAGCAATGGGATTAGTGGTCACGCACTGTGAAAATAATGATAACTGGAATCACAGACAGGTTTATTAAGTTATTAATTTATCAGTTAATAAACCTATTCAACAGTATCTCTTTAGCCCAATAGCCAAATACTTCCTTCGAGCACAGAGATCACAAAGCCAACTAGCTCCTCATCCTGGGATTGGTTGTATTCTAAAAATCTCAAAGTTCCTCCACAAAATCAGACTGTCTCAAAATTTTCATTCCTTTCTCCTTGCCTCCCCCAAAAGCATTAACTTGCTTCTTCATCCACACAGGCATTCCACACATAGTCTGAATTTTAAAACGCAGGCCATGCAGCTTCGTCAGTAGAACAGAAAGTGCTGGTTCCAAAAAAAAAAAAAAAACTGAACATCGCCTGGTCCCTAAATTAGGCCCCAAATCACCAGACCTTATACAGGAAATCAGGATCCAGTACCTTCAGTTTCAAAATTAAAGGGAGGCTGGAAGGAAGGTATAAATGGGATTACATACTTACTCGGGGTGACTCACTCTCATATGTTCAAGATTAAACTGAGCTCGGAATCTACAATCAGGAAAGAATTTTTCCTCGGAGGCAGAGAGGGGTGTGGGATTTCCAAATGTGCACTAAAGTAGGATCTTCAGTGTGAATCAGGTGAGCAAATCCCACATAATGAACTTTCTACTACAATGAAGGAGTAAACATAGGTGAAGTGCACGCCTTCCCAAAAGGTGTTGATACGAAGCCTCTCCCTATGGTTCCAAAGCTAGAGATTAGACGGAGAAGCAAAAGAGACTGGGGTGGCACTGCAAGGCCAATATACTTAACATTATTGAACTGCACACTTCAAAATGCCTAAGATGGTCGATTTCGTGTTATGTGTTTTGACAATTAGAAATAAATTTTTTTCACAAAGAGAGAGACTGGGGTGAATTTACCATGCTGCAACTGCTCTAAGGGGCAGCTAAAATGCTCTTAGAATGTCAAAGTGAGTTTTGGGGATGATAACCCCCTGAAGATGGAGGTGGATATGGCGGATTGGGAATGGCACCAGCATGGGGCTTCAGGACGCTTGTGTTCATGTCTACCCCTGTCTGTCGAAAGCAACTGGTCTTGAATTCAGGGTATGTCCTTGGCCCCGATTCCCTAGGTCTTCATTTTTCTCATTAAGAATAGGATGAGTAGTAAGTTTCTCTCCTTTCACTACTTTAAGAAAAATATCTTCCTTGAATCATTTTCTTCTCCTTAAGCATTTCAATAAAAATCTCAAAGTTACAAAAAGTTATTCTGCTTTGGAAATGTACGGTTTAGAAATACAACAGGTTCCATGTGAAAAACAAACATGAATGTTTTCAAGGCTAGAATTTTAGTGGAAACATTAAAAAATACTTTGATATCCATGTTCCAACATCCCTTAGTTAATAAGAACATGGATTTCTCAGCATACAACTATTTCTCCAAGCTGGGAATAAAAACCACACTTGTAAAAATATTTAGCATGCATAAAAGCTACCATAAAAGAGTATCTTTTAGTTCTTTAAGAATCACTGATATCAGTAGGGAGATATTAAGCATTAAAATATGTCTGAGTATTAAAAATTGAAACAGAAATAAACTACCAACATACTATGACTTTTAAGTTAATATATGCACATTTTCTGTTCAAATACAAGTAAGCATAAAATCATAGAAGGCTAAATATGTATATTAACTTTAGTGATGAATCTTATTTAATTATTAAAGAAATATTTCCCTTTAGTAATTTATACAAAGGGCAATGAATCTGCTTATCTAATATTTTATAACTTTTTTCCTATATGTTACACCAAAACCAGAAATTTTTAAGTTAATATACTCCCACTGAAAATTCATACGGTATATTTTTTTTTATGCTGCACTTGGATGACTACTTAATGTTGTGGTTCTCCCCTAAGAGCACTTATAACTTGTTTTCGGCAAATTTAAATATTCGTTGGAAATATCTATCACTATGTTGTTAAACATATGGGTTAGAATAAATTACAGAAAAAGACTCTGAAAAATACCCAGAACTATCAAGAGATTCATATGAAAAGAGGTCTACCAGGTATACGGTTCAAAAAATACAGGAAAACAAGGAAATAAGGTCACCTCAAATGAAGACAGCAAGGGGTGAGCCCAGCCTTCAGTTCTTCATGGGGAGTAGAAGTCTCAGGAGTCCGTCCAGCCTTTCTCGGGAGAAGCTGGTTCTGGGTCTCCACCACCGCCCAGCAAGAGCCCTTCCATTCACTTCGGGAGCAAAGTGATCTCCTAACCAAACTTACTTGAACTCTCGGTGCAGCGAGAGGGTGTGGCAGACACTTTGTATAATAACAATAATGATGCTCCACACTTACAAAGCAGATAGGAAGATTCTGTAAGATCTTGCGGACAGATGGACAGAGTATCTAAAAGGCTGACGTCTTCCTAAGTAAATGGAGGAGACGGGAGAGCATGAAATACGGGGGGAAAGAAGGAAGGGAGGAAAGATCAGCCAGCTCCTCAATATGCCCCCACAGTGTGGAAAAGTCCTACAGTACAATCCTAGCACCGAAAAATGAACACTTTCACACTGAGATGGTTTGGGTAGAGTAAATGCAAAAAACGAACACTTTGATGAAGAGATGGTTAGAGCAGGGATGGATTCAACAAAAGCCGATGATAGCCATCATTTTACAAGTAATGCCCCAAATTCCTTTTCTTTGGGAGGAGGATATCAAGATCTTTCTGCAAGGTAGGAATAGCATCATAAAGTTCCCCTAAGGAAATAATGCATCAAAAAATGATCACTTTCTAGAAACAGAGTTAAATTCAGTAGGTGGTTGGAAATAAATTCTTTATTCCTCTGCTAGGATTAAATAACCATTCCCAACTGGTTCACTTCTTGAGCAATTTTCTAAAATAGAGTCTGTCTGATCTGTCTCTCACTCTCTTTCTCTAAAATGGACTTTACAATGAAAGTTTGGGTTAAAAGAAATAGAATATACACATTAAACATTGGGAGAGGGAGAGACAGAAAGACAGAGAGAAATTTGAAAAACAAGAACTTCTTTAATCAAGTAGAATTCCTTTCATGGTCTTTTACAAATCGATCACATCTCAAGTAACGAAAAATCAGGGCAAACCAGACATGTACTCAAAAGACAAAGGGAAAATATACTTGAAATTAGAACTATTCCAGGAAATCTGGACTGTATTTTAATAATATGCTTTCAGATCCAATAACCAGAAAAACCAGAACTTCGGGTGAAGAACTAATCCTCCGTCAACTCTTCATCTTTAAGCTATTCATTAAACTCTCGATTCAGGAACGCACATTCTTTTTTAAATCGATACCTACATAATACCTTCCTTGATTTAATAACACCTTCGTTCCCATGGTTAGGTTCTTTCTCATAGTCTAACCTTTCTAAAAATTCCCTTTCACTTTTGTCAGCCTCTAAGTATGCCCTCTTTAGGGGAGAATCTGATCTAAGTCACTGCAAGAAAACACTAAACACATATATACACTTTTTAAAGCATCACAGCATATTTCCCTTACCTCACAGAAAAAAAAAGCTGAAGATACTTTCTGAGTTTTGGTTCTTACCTTCCTACTCCACTCTTTATACATTTTTACTTCTACTGGATTTTTTCTTTCTTCTCCCATTTTTTCTCCATGCCCAACTCAGCATTTCTCAGGTATCATTTAAGGACCACCTACATCAGAATCAGCAGGGATTTGAGTTCGAAAATGCAGTTTTCTGGACCTCTACCTAGATTTACTAAAAATTTCAGAAGGTGGGAGTAGGGCTTCAGAATTTTCATTTCAGAAGTTACCTGGGCAATTGGGATGCACACTGAAATTTGAGGACCACTGTCTCAAACCCTTGATTCCTCCTTCACCAAAGGAACACAGGGTGACTCTACATATTATATATTATATTATATATCTATATATTGCATATTATATATCTATATATAAATAAGTACCGTCAGAGCATCTGAGAAGGGAGAGCGGCGAGGCAGTTCTGTCCACCTTCCTTTTGAAATGCACATGGAAGAGGCAGGAAAGTTTGGAGGGCAGAACCTGAACTGGTTGTGAAACATCAGCACAAATGCCGACTCGTCAGCCCTGCTCCGTGGCTACTGCCAATTACAGTAGCCAGACCTGCGAGAGGACTGATTACATGTAATTTATAAAAAGTAAACAAGCTGAGCAGCTTGTGAACAATGAATGGAGATACTCAAGCCAAGAGGTAATAAAAATCATGAATAAATGACTCAGCATCCCCCTCCCCACCCAGACAACAATTGCTTGTACTCGGGGTAGGATTAGCGCGGGCCAAAAAACTGAGCATTTGGGGAAAGATTTAAATGATAACAGACCATTGACCAGGAGAGAGATTTTGTCTCTCACAAAAACCTCTGTGACAGGGCTGCACAGTCCAGAACTGGAGTTCAAAAGCTCAGTCATTTCAATGACTTTTTCTCAATCTTATTGAAGCCAGAAAAGGAAATGCCTGGGTCCAGGGCTGCAACCCAGTCCTGCACCTGAGTGATGGCTTTTAATGGAAACATAGGGAAATAAACCAAATAAATAATACAGATGTAGGAACCAAGCCTTGTGAGGGATTCTTCTACGAGAGGGTTTCCTACCTCCAGCACGATTGATATTTGGGGGCTGGGTTATTCTTGGTTGCGGGGCTGCCCTCTGCATCATGCAGTGTTTAACAGCAGCCCTGCCTCTACCCACCAGCCACCAGTAGCACCCCCAGCTGTGACAACCAAAAACATCTCCAGACACTGCCAAGTGTACCCGGCGGGGGCAAAATCACCTCCAACTCAAAACCATGCTCTACCCAGACACCTTATGAAGAAATGTTCGTATTAGTAAATGAGCTCAAGGAACATTTTTGACATCAGAAAGTCTCATGATTTCTGCTTTTAAACATGCATGTATATTAAATATAAACCTCTGAAGTCCACCATCCTGTTTTTTAAAATATATTTTTCCATTACCAGGGACTGCAATACAAAATCTTAATATGGTTTTCAGGAGCTATTCAAGCCACTACAAAAGTGCCACATAAGGAAATTACTGTGTGGGCGCCTCACTTTTCCTTGTCATGATCAATGTGTTGAATTGTGCTGTCAACTTTACTGCCAGAGTATTTACATCCACTTAACAGAGCCAAGGTATCCATCAGGTGCTACAGCCCATGAGACTTTTAGGAGCCCATGAAGCATGTCTTCCCTTTCTTAAAAAAATTAGAGTTAAAAATGCATATAATAAGAATAATAAATATCTAATAACACATCCAGCTTGCTATACATTCATCTTAATACAGACCCAGTTGCAAAATATAATTTTTCTTTTTTTGTAGAGGAAGGGAACCCATGAAGGCAAAAGTATCTGGGGCTCAGGAAAAATCACAACATGGCCCCAACATAGAAAGGGGAGACAAGGAATTAAATAAACAAGGACAACCCGGTGTGACAGGCGCTGTGCAGCAGAGCATCAGAGGAGAACAGAACAGATGCCCTCGGCCCACTGGGTCTGGGTGTGTGAGTGATGATGGTGGTATGAGTTCAGGGGAGGCGGGGGTGGGGTGGGGGACAGGGGGTAGAGAAGAGGGAAGAATAAGCACCGTTAGCCTGGTTGTGGAGGCAGAGAGGGGACGGCCAGGGATTCCTGGAGGAAAGAAGAGCCCATGCCAAGGCCAGCAGGAGCCATCACCAGGCCAATCTGGGACCTGGAAGTTCAGGACAGCTGGGGAGGAGCGTGCGTGAGGAGGGTGCGTGTGCAGAGGCCACATCACAGAAAGCACTGCAAGCTAAGAGAAGGGGTCAGGCATTCCTCAGAGCAAAGGAACGCGGCAGAACAGCCTCAGACTGGGAGCCAGGACTACCAGGTCTGTGTTCCACAAAGGCCGTGCTGGCTGCCTTGATGAGGACGGTGTGGAGGGGCCCAAGCACGGAGGCAGGGAGATGGACAGGCCACTGCAGAATCTAGCAGGAGGGAAAGGCAGCTCAGGCCACACACAGGTCAGTAAGTCAAGAGATATTTGGAAGGCAAAACCGCCAGGATTTGCTCACTGGGTGTGGAGAATGAGAAGAGAACAAAGAAAACCATATGGTGTAAGGCACTGGGGAAGGGATGGTGGCGTGATTGACAGAGAGGGAACAGTAAGAGGGCGGGGCTGAGGGAGAGGACGGGAAAACCTGCAGTGGGCAGACCAGCTCCGCATTGCTGCGGGGGTCTAAGCAGTCAGATCCAGAGATGGGGTGTGAGAAATGGGCTGAAACAGCATCTTCAGATCATCTACATATAATTCAGGGGCAATTTAACTGGCCTTTAAGACCCACAGACGGACTTTAAAGATGAGATAGAACACATGCAAGACGATAATAATGTTTGCATGTCTGTTTGTCAGAATTCTGGGGGAATGGAGAACATGAAGCTTTTATCAGATTTTCAGAAAAGTTTATGAACTCACGATGGATGGTGACCCACTAACAGTGAGAGCTGGGAGGAGGGACCATCCGGGGCTAGCAACACCAGAATCCTTCGGAACTCCAACGCTTTCGGACACCAGAGCCTGGGATCAGGAAGGCCCAAGAGGGGACATGTTTGGAGAAGATGGATTGGTCATCTCCAACAGTGGGGGCAGCCTCGTGTGTACAACCCACCCAGGAGTCTGGCTGGAAAAGGTAGGAACAGAGACAGTCTCACCCTAGCCTCATCTCTGAAAATGAATCCATCTTTTAAGGTCCTGGTGAAATCTCTCTTGCCACCATCATGAAATTTTAAAAGGATCCCAGAATTCACCCCCCTCTACCGAATGGGGAGGGGATTGCCAGTGTTCCGCATCTCGGCTGAATTCGTCTAGAGTCTGGCCTCACACGTCATAGATCATAATACAATTTGCAGTACTCAGTGCATCCTGTGTCCCTAGTAGCACATACACTCCTGAAAGGTGGAGACAGTGCCTTCTCGGTCTGTTTCTGAATTCTTGGCAGCGACTTGTTCTCAGCAGGCACTCCCTCAAGGGCTGAAGGGTCTGACCTGAGAGGTGACAGATCTGGCCCTGCTAGAACAGCTGGTTAACCTCTATGACCTCGGACAAATCAATTAGTCTCCCAGAGGCTAATTTTCATTCCCTGTAAAAAGAGGAGGTTGGCCTCTCAGCTAGGGGAGAAGGAGATATGCGTGACTGGGAAAGGTATTTAATATAGCTGTTGTTTTTGGAATGCGAATCGCAGAAAATAAAACTAGATTATAAAACACAGGACACTCAAACAATGCACGATAGAGAAATGGGTTGGAAAAGGTTGAGAAACATTGAACTTGATGATTTATAATTTTGGGCTTAAAATTCTACAACTCTTTG